TGTCTCCCTGCCTCTCTTTCTTTCCCTTTCACTTTGCCTTTTTCTGTCTCTAAAGTGACTCTTTCTCCATTTGGGCCTCTATCTGTCTGTGTGTGTCTCTGCTGCAGAGCGTTCTAAGAATTTCGAGTCAGTAGCTGAGCCATACAGATCAGGAAAGTCCAAGGTTCAATTCCCGGCCTGTGCTGAGTTAGCGAATCTCAGCGTGTGTATCAATAATGGCATTGCAATTTCACTTTGCAGGGTCCATCGGCTGGCTAACATTGCCTGCCAAGGATCTGGCAGAACATTTGGTTGGGCTGATAATAATGACGTTACGTTCAACCGCAAAGAAATGAAATGCATCCCTATTATGTCAGTCTTCAAAGTTGAGTACCTACCAAACCTAAATAAAAAGCAATTACAGTATGTATCAGCAAAATTTGATGACAAGTATAAAAAAAACACTTTAGATGTGTATGATATCCTGCTGGTGTGTTCAATTGAATTTTGAATACATTTTAACAATATCATTCTAAAAAGGACTTTCAGAATTGGATGCCTTTTAAGAGGAAAGACATTATAATGAGGTTTTGCTGCCTCAGCCTGTGTGCTTTAGAGTAGATTGTGACCTTATTTTCATTGCTAAATTCAGATGGACTACCTAACATAATAGGATAAACAAGAACAGTTTACAGAAAGGAAGCTATCAATCGGATCAATTAAGACAGTTAGACAAATTCGATGGTCAAATATGGCTCAAAACAATTCATGTCATTTCTAGCCTGTTGCACCATCAGTATCTTTACTTCAAAACAAAACCTATTGCAAAGTGTTAGGTTTAATTTAACTATCCATTTGATTTCTGATTTCTCAGTCTTGCTTTTCTGTTTTAACAGGAGTGTGTCTATTTATTAAACAATGAGGTTCTACAACACACCTTTGGTAACAGAAGTTACAAACAGTGTTATTGGGTCACGAGAACCCTCTTCCTAAGTAGTCTCTTCAGAGTGACCAGTTACCAGCAGGAGGTGCAATTTTTGACTCCTGTTATGAATATCACATTTTAAACCTACGAATGCTGTTGACCTCAACACCAGCTTGAAGGAGTTGTCAAGCCTGACAATTCAACTCCCTTGCACCAGATAGAAACAAGTTTACTGACTTAACACTGGTTCACACCGGCAAGATGGATCGCAAATGGTTTTCACTTTCAGTCCATCAACATTTGTAGGTGACTAGCAAAAAGAAATATCATTCAGAGTTGAAGAGGTATGGACAGTTTATCTGTTTAAAATTGAAGTTGCAAGTTACTTCTCACTGGTTCCCCTGGCAAATAGTTTTTAAAATTTTCTAAAAAATCATGTTGAAGCAGCAATTACAGCCCTTAGTTTGACGTTGGCCGGCACAAGTACAATTTGTCGCCTCCTCTGAAACTTACCGAACGTGGAGCTGTTTCATCAAGGTCTGAGTAGACAGAAAGTCCACTCACTCTGGTCTGTTATGTCATTGAGACGTCTCAAAGCGCTTCACAGGATATACTGTAAAGTGAATTGACTGTATATTTTGTGGGTGAAACGTAGCAGCCAATTTCGCACAGCATTCTCTGCCAGCCAAGAGATGGGAGGGGAGCAGAGGGGTTCAACATCAAAGTTTCTCCACACTTGAAATTTGGCCATTTAAACACTTAGCTTTAATACTTGAGCCTTTAAATTCCAACAACAACAAGATTCCATTTATAGAGCGCCTTTCACGTCGGGAGGACGTCCCAAGACGCTGTACAGTTGGGTCAGGACCCGAGCAAGGGAGAAATGGTCAGGGTGAGGGGAGGGAAGGGAGGGAGCGAGGATGGGGTAGAGAGTCAAGAGGGGAGCTGAATGCACGGTCAAAGAGAAAGGTCTTGAGACCGGCCTTGAAGGAGGAAAGGGAGGAAGCGGCGAAGGCACTGGGGGATAGAGTTCCGGAGCCTAGGGGCTGAGAGGCTGAAGACCCGGCCACCGATGGTAGGGCGGTTGGGGCGGGGGATGTGGAGCAGACCGGAGCCAGAGGAACGGAGGGTACGGGCAGGTATGTAGGGGGATAGTAGGTCAGAGAGGTAGGAGGGAGCGAGACCGTGAATGGCCTTGTAGGTGAGGATGAGGATCTTGAATTCAAGAGAAAAATACAATCCCCCAACCCCGCTCCCCCTCCCCGCACCATTGTTTTTTTTAAAACTAATGGCTACAGAAATTGACAGAAACAACCAGAAGGCCGTTAAAATTAATCATAATTTGTAAATGTTTGATTTTGTGAAGTGGTGGTGAGGGCATGGCTCCCTCTTTAAGTGATGAGTGTGTGCAGATGAGAGTACGTGTTTTTCAGCAGTAATTGGATGCATGTGTAGTGTCTTGTCAAATCGAGGGCAGATGTAGACAGTCCACATAGAGCGCATCACTGTCATTCACTGTCTCCCAGGTGTTTTGTAATTCTATTCCCTGGTTTGTTTTGGGGGTGTTTTTCTGGTAACTTTGTTCCTGAAGATTGTATTTTTTAAATCCCAGATTGTATGTACTGTACGACTGCCAAAACACCTCTTATGGCTCTTAAAGGCTTTCATTTTAAGCAACCTACTTGTCAGCTGTAAATATTCGAACATGTCCGCTGCATTTCAAGTGTCAGTGAAGCCTCGCACGGTCACTCCAGTGCAGCTATGGACTCTTAAGCTTGAATGGAAGTGCGGCTGTGATTTATACTGTTTATGTGTTGCACCTCGCCATTTTAAGAGGAAAGCAATCTGTCACACTAGCTGCCATCTAAAGACTGGCTGAGCTGCCAACTCTCTGTCCTTTATGTTTAACTGTGCTAGAGATTGCACTCGTCTTAATAAGAAATGGCACTGCGCAGTATCTAAGCAGAGCTATAGCTTCACTTGTACTGCTGGTCTTTCAATCCTCTGTGACTTCTCACTTCTACCATATCAGTATACCTTCAATCCTGCATTCCTTGCTCGACTGCTAAGGATGCCTATCAGACATTTCGCTGCCAGTATTCCCGGGTGTTTGACTGGCACTTATTTTAGTACTCTATTACATTTATGATGGGTTATCTATTCATGGAGATCTGGATCGTGAACAATAACTGGCATTTAATTGCTACAGCGGAGTGTCGAGAGCTGTTCAGACAAATACTGTGCATCTCTTTGCCTATTTGTTAGAACTGTTCTCAAATTTCATTCATTTCTAGCTTCACCTTTGAGGTGAACATCACACACAGGATGTTACAGCATCCAGGCTAGCTGTTTTCCTCGCAGAGACTATGAAATGACTTTGTGGAGATGGAATGAGTCGTGGCGAGAAAGGATATAACTGATTGGCAAAAACACTTCATTAAATCAATTTTTGTTGTGCAGTTCTGATTTTGTAATAAGCGTTGAACTACAGGCCAACTGTAAAGCATAATGCAGCCTTAAAACCGCATGAAAGGCATTGCTACGAAAATCTATTGATCTGGAAGACCAAGCACAGCGTTAAAGTCATTTAGTGTGCAGACTGATGCTGAGCTGAAAGGCATTTTGTCCCTTGACTTTTACATTAACCTTCTATTGACTGCTCAGATACCCTTAATTAACCCAGATCTTAGCAGAAGTGGTTAATTGTAGCTTCACAAATGATGTTTCCTAATGTAACTAGCCTTAAGATTCTGTCAATAATGTATCAACTCTGATTTATAAAAAAAAAGTTCCTTTTTATCCGGAGACATATAATGTCCTATCTGCTCAGTCATTTGTGGTAACTGAGCTGTCCTGCCTAGCTTTTGTTCCCTTAATTCTTGTTTTAAATAAATAATGAGAACGTTTAAACACATTACTCTTTTCAAGGCCCTGAGGTCAGGTAATCTTATTATTTATGAAGTGATGTGCTACATAATAGTGCTTAGTGCATGTTAACAGATGCTATTATCCTGAAATGATGTAGACTGCTGAAGATATATTGGTATATTATATGTTAATACTGTCTTCACTGTGTAATGTACTGCCAGTCTGAATTCTGTAGATGTTTGTGTAGCAATTAGGTACACACAGCAAATACTGTTTAGTGGTTTTAAGTGTGCATACAGTATTAAACGTGTATCTGTTTATATAGCTATGCTAATAACATTCTTAGACAGTGAACTATACCTCAAATCACCTGGTTTAAACTGTTGTGTGGAACAGTTCAAAGATTGATTAATTTCATATTTGTGCATTAATTTCTTTGAAAGGATTGAGTTGTCAAAACTAGTATGGAAAAATATGATTTAAGTTGTGATGTTCAGTGTATTGAAATACATTGACATCTAATCTCTGATGCTGTTGATATTACAGTATTACAGCCTGGGATTTTCACAGTACCACAATCTGTGATTGAAAGAAATATGTCACATCTTTTGCATCCTAATGAGCACGCTTTGAAGATCTGTTTTGTAACCAGCTTTCATCTTGGGTTATCAATTCATAAAGTACATTTTTGAGATGTACTGTTTCAGCATTTTGTTTAATAAATGTTATATGTTAACATAAATCCAGTGTATTTCATGTCAGACAAGTGTCTTAAAATTGAATAAATATCTTTTTGTCAGATTAAGTAATTTACTGGGGAGTCAAAGTAAAAGCTACAAGTTAAAACAGTTTTGCCCTCCACCCTAATGAAATTGATGAGGAAATTACAGCATGTATGAGACAATATAAGACAGACCTGCTTCAGGGGATTGGGAAACAAGCAATATGTGCATTGGTTTCCCTGTGATGTGTTTGATTTGCATTAACAGTTGGCAAATATTATTAATACATTCAAAAACGTTTGGATTTTGTTGCTGTTGAGATGAATGATTGCTCTCAATGTTACTTTGGATTTGTGTTCAGTGATTGAAGTACTTTAAACATCAATTTAAAAAATAAATCTCCTTTTGACTTTAACTTGGTCTCTTATGTAACCTGTTTTGATCTAGTTATAGTGGTGAAATTGCTTTTACTTTGTACGTTAACATCTCTTGTGTTTCCTTTCCAGGTGTCAGTCCAGACTTGTTAATAATCTACCAATTGATGACCAGCCAGAATGTCGCCCTCATTGGCAAGATGAAGACCCTGATATGCCCCTACCCTATGACCTGCAAGAAACTATCTCATGTTTGAGGAATCGTTTCATGTCTGCAAGTAAACAGTGGTGAGTATCGAGAAGAAAAATGAATTTGATTTACTTATTCTTATCTTTCAGCATGCACTACAGTGCCCTCAGCACATGTGCAAACAAGGAAGGTTAGAGTTTATAGAAAGCTTTTTACCCACCCACCCCTAGCCTTCCCTCAAAAAAGAAAACATTTTATTTGATAAGAAACAGACAGCTGTGTACATATCCATTTGTAGGGCTTATAATATCATTACAGTCTAAAATTCTGGAACTCTTGGAAAAAAAATTTTTTATGAAAAGATGTCGGAGACTGATATCTGAAAAGAGATGATCTTATTCCCCATTAGACTTTACGTATGGGTGATACCGTACTAAGATGTGGTTGGATTGGACCAGCTGTTCCTTCTATTTTCTTATTGGGTCGTAAAGCTGAATAGAGCCAGATTTTCTTGTCTTGAGTTTCAACCGATCAAAATGTTATGGTGTTGAACATGGGCCGTAATCCAGTCAATGGAATGTCCTCGATACCTTGATTCATAAAATAAGCTATGTGATTTCAAAAATGGTTTTGCCTTGGGGATTTGATGTGCTCCAATTACATTTTGAACTTCAGGATTTGGCATCTGATATCAAGTCTGACTCGTTTCTTTTAACCCTTTGCTTATTGATTTTCTTTTGTAAGCCAGTAACAATGTTTTGTCTAACCCTTTAGAAAATTGGGATCACAAAATGGCACTAACATTACCAGCAACGTAGATGCTTTTTTCCAAGGAGTTCATGTCAATAATGGACCACTTAGCTTTGCACTTGACCTATAATAAAAATGGATCCTACAAATATACTAGGTGTATGTATGTAAACGTTATGCTTATCTTTCAAAGATACACCTTGACAAAAATATCATTCCAAGCTGACTTTACAAAGACTTCATTTGGATTTGGAAACCATTGTGTCTCCTTCCATGAAGGCAAGGTTACTATGATGGCACAAGTTGGAGCAGCAATGTATGTTGTCATTGAGTGGTGGAATCACTTTGTGCTTTCCGTGGCCTTTCACTCCACTGAGTCTCAATCTCAACAGGGTCACTGAGAAAAGTGACAAGTGGAATCAGACCTGAGCTGCTTTGGCACATCTTCTGGTGGCTGGCTGAGAATGGAGATTGCAGGATATTTGCCCGTTTTACACTCCTGGTGTAGAGAAATGGGGTTCATACTCTTACAAAAACAGATTAATTCCATATTGATTCGTGCAAGCTTCAGTAATAGAAACCACAGTCACTCCATACACACGTACACAGGCATTGAACAATCACATGCACTTCCAAACTATTTACTTAACATCTGCCTGTCATCCATTTTAATAATCAATATGTCCAATAAGCTAGAAAGCATTGTGGTGGGGTGAGGGAGAGGGAGGTTTAATAAATGGAAATACTTAATATTTTTTGGTCGGCTGAATGTCTGACACAAGCAAAAATCCGTCGCCATGCCAAGAGTCCCACATATGTGTGCCATCTACACACAAACATTTCCCTGTGTCAAGATTACCCTCTTTTCATACCTAATTCTGGAGATTATTGGGCCCAGATTGGCAAGAGCCAAGTGCAGAGTGTGCAAAATACATAGTGCACCTGTTTACACTGTGAAAAATACATCAGCATTACTCGTTCATGTTTGTTCTGACCAGGAGAATAAAAACCTAGAATAAAGCCATTAATCAATTCTAACAATATTCAACAAAACTGAGCTGTAAAATATTCGGAATAACCCATCACAAGTAACATACTATTACCAATCTCTTTTCCATTAACTGAAAGGATAAAGGCACAAATGTGAAGCCAAACATCTGTCACCAAGCTTCAAGCCTGTTAATATGTGTTTATCTGTCAGCCGAGCAAATGAATTGCTTTTATCCTTTTTCAAAAAAAAAATGGCTTTCGGATTTGGAAAAGCACCATACTAAATGCACTGATAAATTCTGACCTCTCAATGGTTTCAGCAGTAATGCTATAAAGGGTTTCTGTGGGTGGGGGGTGGGTGGAGTTTAAGGGTTAAGTCCGTGTCCTGTGTATATTGACATGATTCTAACATCAGACATACTTGGGAAATGGTTTAAGTTATGCTTCAATATCGCAGGACAAAGCTGGTTTTAAAATGTTTTCATTCATATCTTTGCGTACCTTTACTTTTCATCAGTCCAAGATGAATGATTTGAAAATATCCATATGTTTGACAAGCTGAATTGATTACAAAGAATACAGATCTATTTGCCTGTCTACACTTGTAGTTGCAGACAGTATATATCAGTTGCACTTCTGCTGTCTTTTTGTGCCAATTCACAATACAACAGATATCAGATGGATATTTGTGGTTTCAACATATATATTTTTTAAAAATGAAGATTTCTATTTGATTCTGCTTCCCTTATTACTATCCGGTCTCTCCACATGCCTATTTCCATGGAAAATGGGAAGCGGTAAAAGGATTTGGACTTTTCCCTCATTCATTCAGCCTCCCATTGTCTGGTTAGATGACACAAGATGTGATTTCTGCAGGCAGGGTGCACACAATCAGATTTTCTCCATCATTCATCACGATCCCAGAACGATTGACAAGTTGCCAAACCATCAGAAGAAACACTGGGTCTCTATCTCTTTGAGAGACCTTGACAAGGATTCCCTGTCTGCACCAAATACGAGCAAGCCCAAGTAAATGGTTTTAGTTTACTTATACCTGGTTTAGCATCATTGGCTTTGTTGTATAGCACAGTATATTACGCTGTGTATTTTCAGCATTTGAAACCATTTTATTTTATAATTTAATGTTAAATTTCACACGTTGGATTTCAAATTCAGTGAAAAGACGACTGACAGGTATGCCCATTGTTTCTGGCGCCTTTCCTTCAACTGAGACATTACTTTGTGTAATTTCTGTCAAACGTTCCGGGGAAGGTGACACATAAGAAACTGTAACTGCGTTTGATCATTGAGACTGTAGTAGCAGAGACTCAGAAGTTTCCCAAACCAATAAAAATATTAATGATCAGACAACCTTGAGATTTCTTCTTCTATGGATCTTGCTCCACAGTTTCAAGTTGAAGGATCAAAAGAAGGCCAGACTACCCAGAAGATCTACATTTGATTCAATCTAAAATCCTTCTTCATGGAAAAAATGTTGCTTCCACTTTATCTACCGTAAAAGCCATAGGTGAGGCACACTGTTGTCAAATGCTAAGGATCACACCATTTCCCACCAGTGCTTAGGAACAGTTCACTGACTGCAGATAAATTAGATAAGATCACCCACGAGATATCCAACACAGGTGATTCCATTGTGAAACCTTTTGTCCAGTGGCTGGTCTTTCATTGCACGACTGCAGTCTCACCACTGCACCCGGGATCCTGAAAGTTGGTGGTCTCCATTAAGCCTCAACTCATCTCTGTCTAGGTGAGAGCTGGAAAGCTCTGAGACTGAGAGCTCCAAAGTACCAAAAGAGACTTAATGCAAAGTTTGCAGTTCACTAAGTAACTTTTAGAGAAGAATGTTGTTAAGATCACCATATTCTGACTATAATGTAATTGAGCAGGGCCCACTATCAGCCCAGCCCACAAGATTCCTTTTTTTGTATCAATCTCTAAATCTAATAACCCTAAATCTCTATAGTTTATATGAATTTGTTTGGTTTCATGTTTAAAACCTTTGCAGTGCAGGTAAACCTTTGGACAAACCCAGAGTTGTATTTGAAATGTACTGAATGAACCTGCATGACTTATAAATTGAATTCTTGTCCATTCAGTGAATCCCAAAACTTCCTGCCTGTCTAGTTTCAATCTTTTATCAATTCTTCTAATACAAAATTATAATTGGAATAGTTTGCGGAGATCAAATTGATCAGTGTTCAGAGGTACTTGCGTCTCTCTGCGGACTTGTGCTACTGGCGTCTACTGTGAAATTTTTTTGATAGGATTTCAGAAACATTCAAGAGGTAAGTGGCAAGTGAAATAAATAGCTAGTTAGCACTTTTACAATTCTGAACACATCCAGCTGGTTTATGAGCGCTCAAAATCCTCTTAAAGCATGTCCAGCTTACTGAGCTATTGCTTGGCTGAACTTGCTGCAAAGACACAAAATCATCCTCCTCGCCTGTGTTTATTGCTTGACCCCAATGGCCAACCCAAAGCTGCCTGAAATAAACTCCCTTTATCAGTCGATGACTCAACCTTGCATCTTCTATACTTAGGAAAGACAGCTTTGTGTTATGTGTCGGGGTTGAGGGGATGAGTTGTCAGGTCGAGCGCTCAGATATTATCTACAAATATGACAGGTAATTTGTTCAGGGAGCACTCTGGGATGACAAGCTATAGTGCTGTTGTAAAACATGGCACCTGAGAGGTGTGCAGGTTTGTGGAAATCAGAGGCTATCATTGCTCTTTGTTTCCATCTTTTTGTTATGTGACGCTCGGTTGTGTGTGTGTGTGTGTGTGTGTGTGAAAATGTTTTCTGATAGGTTTCAATTTAGAGTCCAGGAAACACTGTGCCCTCACACCTCCCAGTGTGTCCTGGTTTGACCTAATCAGCCTTAGGTTCATCACCAGACTCAGTCTGACTTGAGATTTCCTGTTTATCTTCGGACCCAATAAAATAACCAGAAGATACCCAGTTGTGACAGTGTGTTCGTTTGATTATCTTATAGTTGAACCACATCTTACCCATCAGTCAGCAGGTATATAGGAAAGGCCAGTTTTCTTTGGATACAAGCCAGTTATTTATTTGGCAATTGTTCAACCACCCCATATTAGTGTTTGCAACAATTGGGTATAAATATTTTTTAATAATTAGTTTAACCATTTTATCGAATGTGTATTTTATTTCGGCTACAATTGTGTTTGTTTTGAGAAAGTGAGAGTTTACAAATATTAAAATTTAGATTCATATTTTAAATTGCATAAAAAGGTTGTGTTTTTATGTCAATTGCTACTTTTGAGAACAGATTGGGCAGCAATGTGGGTGTTTAAGCCATGGGAAACTTATAAGATG